ATTACCTTTAAAGCTTTAGTAGCGACTATATACAATGTTACCGTAATTGTCGTACATTTTGTCAAATAAATGGAACGGCAATATTGTCTTTGTTAATGTTTATAATTATTTGTTTGAAATAAAAGGATGAATTGTTTAAAATGGCTGCTTTGCTTGTTGGAGAGTAAACCACACCAGTTGAGAGGGATAAGGAATATATATTTACATCAAAGTGGTCTGTTGCACTGGCATAGGTTCATGGCGAACGCTGCAATTGATCTTCGTCTTCCTTCTCTTCTCTGTCTGCTCGTACTCTTGCAGAATAGCAGAATTCTTCAACATTCTCCACCCCCATGCAATTCGAGTCATCTAAGACAATGAAAGTTCAGTGGGATGCTCTTCGTTCTTCCTATGACAGCTGTTGATGAGTTTCTCATAACAGGCTCTGATATTTGGATCCCGTCCTCGGTGTTGCTCTATAATTATTCCAGTCTTTCAAAGTTGCCGCAGTGCTTTACGAGCACTGATCACGCTGTTTAAGACTGTCAGATTTTTAACACTGGCATGGTGTGCAGAACGGAGGGTACTCCTTTCTCCATCTTCTCCAAAAGTGCTCTGTCAGCTGAGCGTGGTGAATCCATCTTCTTGTAAACGTGACATTGGACCTTGTTTTGTTCGTGGTAGGGAATGCAAGTGTTTTTTTTTTTTTACCTGTTAAGAAATGGTCTAGTGTCAGTACTTTGTCATCTGGTGACCATGATAAGTTTGTGAGAGGCCTGTGATTGATCACGGCTTCTACCTCATACAAGACCGTGGTCAACTTTTCATGTGTGAGCCTTTGCTGACTAAGAATCTTCCATAGGGAGGTTCTCACTGCTCTTATTATCCTTTCCCAGATGCTTCCCCATCATGTGGCCTCGCTGCTGTCTCTTCTCTTTAACCACTGGCACATGTATGCTCGCGCATACGCGTCAAAAACGTCAAAGGCGCCTTTAGGCGTCGGCGTCGGAGGGGCGCACGCGACGAGGCGCGTGGGATCAAGTCGGGCTTGATATTTTCGGCACGCATACAACAAGTCACCACGCGTACAGCGGCGCCAACCAACCGGAGTCCGCGATGCCTAAGTTTTCCTTTTATTTGTTTTGTTTTTGTTCATTTGGTTGTTAGAAGGGTTGAAATAACTGTTATAAATGTTCGGGTTGCAAATGACAGCTTGTCTTAGAGTGTAGTGCGAATATTTATTAGGAGACCAATTGTTATGCCTGATTACTGCAAGCACGCTCCCCCGAACATCAGCGGAAGCTGGAATTTCACGGAGCTACATTAAGGTCATAACTACATTAAGGTGAGTGCATTAAGACGATAGCTTTAAATGCCTTACCAAAGCGAAAATTAATCTTTGGGACGTACCGGAAGGTCACATAACTTGACGGCATCATATAACATCTTCGATTGGTTGAAATAGGCTGACCATGAAGGCAGGACATAACCAGCTGAGGGGAAGAAAGCTAGTTTTGTCTCCAATCCTTGAGGCAGTAAGAAAATCACATTGGGCGCAGAAATATCGTGGAGGGAAGTAAGAAACATTCAGTGCATTGAATTGGAAGACAACAAGGATTCTTGCTTTTCAGTCATCTCAGAATTTTATGAAAATCTTAGTGGAGTTCATCGAAAAAACTTGATGTTATTATCTTCAGATTCCGGTGCCTTGTTCCCCCATCAAATTTCTATTTACACAGAGCTGGTATGCCACTCTCCCCTCTTTGTCTGTTCTGCAAAGAATTGTAAACTATTGAACATTGTTTTGTCTCATGTCGTAACTACGCAGTAATTAGGAAAAGACTACTACCTATTCTATTTGCAATGCTAGGTTTAAGTTTAACCACAGAAACTGTTCTAAATTTTGGTGCCTCCATTTTGGGAAATTGCCACAGAGATATATTTGATGTGGTGTGTAATTTCATTGAAGACACTAAACGTATTTCAATATAAGGCTCACTTTAACAAACACTTAAAAAAAAAAGTGAGGAAGCAATTTTTGAAAAGTGAATAAGTATGAGACATACACATCAAATTATGTGGGTTTGGCAAACTCGGCCGTCTGGTCGACTCCCAAAATCGAGGTATAGTTAATATATTAGTGATTATTTTATTGTCTTTTTTGCACACTCTGAATCTTCTTTTTTGATGTCTTCCTTCTATATCTTTTTCTTTTCTTTTTTTGTAAGCAATAGTGTAGTTACCATCTAAAGGATACTATGTGTTTTCTTGGACAGTACCCCAGAGTGGGTATGTGCCGTGGATTCCAGGCTACAAGTACACAAACAAGTTATCTCAGGTGAATCCATAAGGGTGTGCTTTTTGCAGACGCCGTCCGGTATTTTTGAAATAATGATATCAGTTATAGGGTTGCGCATGGCTCCTTCTTCGCAATGGCAGTCATAGACACAAAAGGGAAGACCTTGATTGCGGTTTCCGTAAAGATCAGATCGTCGGAGACAGCGGAAGAAATGGCCATTGCACTGGCCGTAGTCAATGGCCGAAAACACGACAGATTAATAATCAGCGACTCCAAGATAGCCATTAGGAATTTCACAAAGGGATGGGTCTCCACCGAAGCAGTCAAAATCCTGAACCACAGAGCATAAGACTTCTGGAACGGCAAAATTGTACCCAAATACCTGAAGTGGATCCCGGCGCACATGGGGGAATTAAACATCGAAGACACGACCATCCCTTAAAACCTCAACGAGAAGGCCCACCGAACCGTGCAAGAACTAACCCACCACGACTCGGACAGTGACGGCCCGGCCCCCCGCACCGACCACAAAAGGGGGGACGACTCCGGTGGAGGTGATGGGGATGGTGGAGGTGATGATAATAATGAATATGCGATACAAGACGACAGAGACAGACTGGTCACGTATCGTGATATATTGGCACATTATAAGCGAAAACGAGAAGAATATCCGCCACCACACAAACAGCTAGACAGACCTCAAGAAACAGATTGGCGAAGATTGCAAACCAGAACCTTTTCAAATCCAGTACACCAGAACAGAGTAAATTCCAGGCAATACCCACAACAAAGCTGTACCCTCTGTCAGCACGAACACGCAGATATGGCACATATTCTATGGCAATGCACACAGGTTGCAGTAATATACCGAGAGGACAATATAAAACCGGACCTTCTCGAGGAGCGTTGGCTAAGTGCGCTGACTAGCTGAGATCTGCACGACCAACTGTGGGCAATCCAGCGGGCCCGGACGGCTGTGGAAAGACTATGCCTCACCGCACAAAACGTCGGGGTGGCCTGAGCCCAGGCCGGTAACCATGCAGGGTTTCTTTTTTTTTTTTTAATAAAGTTTTTCCGTCCGTCTGTCCATAAGGATACTGGCGAGTTCTTTTTTTTTTGTAACTAATGAAAGGTGAAAAAAGGCAATCTGTTTGTTTTTTTTTGTCAGATATGCAGGGTAGTTAGTACACAGTAGTATTGTATACTACAAGATGCAAATAATTAGGTTTCGATAGCTTGAACGAGAAAATAAAACGCGAATGCTGTAGAACTCGAACGCATATATTGAACCGGTAGCACGGCTTTTTTCATCCTCCCTGCATCCGTAAAGCCATCAAAAAGCACGACTGCAAATTAACTCGCATGAAAACACGAATTCGCGAGCTTCCTAATACGTGTGGATATTCAGTGCCAGTATCCCGTATTCTACTCGCCCAGCATCACCACGCGGCAGCGGCGAGCCGAGGAGGAGCGCGCGCTCGACGGCCTGACAAGAGTGTTTGCCCGGGCACTGTTCTGGCAGACCTGGTGCCTGTATATGAGGGAATATGGGTCAGCTGCCAGCTCGTAATAAGTTCACGTGCTATTGCTATGTAGTGCCAAACAGGCTAATAAAGAGTGTTCCACACTCGCTGCCATGGCTACTGGTGTCGCTGACTGATGCTCCCACGTTTGATGTGTATACCTACATACCCCATAAAGTGGATGGGGGATTGCCGCCGTGGTAGCTCAGTTGATAGAGAATCGGACGCATTATTCGAAGGTCGCATGTACGGATCCCGCCCATAGCATGTTATTTTTTCATCCACTTTTGTTGACATTTACATTACAATTACTGTGAATACCATCTTCTATACTTTCCTTGGCATGAGCTCATTATTTACTAAGGCAGGGCACATGGGAAGCTGCTACATGTCATGGAGGTGGACGTCCAAGTGGCGCACTTGTTATAAAAAGCAAGGGCTCCTGTAAGTGTGTGCTGGTAAGGAAGTATGCACGTAGCATGTAGCAGGCGCCATGTCTTTAGAGTACTGACAATGCTGCTGCAGCAAGCTAAAATGTTCAACTTATAGGTTCGAAGCGAATAGAGATTTGGTTGAATAATTATTAAATTAATAGTAGTATGTATTGCATATTAAAAATAACCATATTTGTCATAACCCAGCTAACCTGCACAATATTTTAATATTGAAACAACACATGTGCCATTCCTTTTGGTCCAATGGGAAGTGAAAGCGACTTTGAATACCTGTAAAATATATGCATTTTAAAGTGTACAGGGTATAAGCCAGGATCTAAACTTATGATGAAGTGATGTGAGGGTAATTTAACTTAACCTATTTAAGTTTAATTCACGGTACAGCACCCCTCCACTACAATGAAACCAAAGCGGGGGGGTTCACATACGCTCTTATATACATGTATTTGTTCATTTCCAATAATTTAAATTTAACTAGAAGTGAATTTGAATACTGTAATATTCATTAAAATGTTTGCAGTGCTCAAATACTTGTACAAGCGTAGTCATTACACCTCTAAATAGTAATTCATGTTATCGTCCCTTTGAAAATTTGAGATGAAGACTGTGTTCACTGGTGCATATTGTCTTTTTTGCCCGAAGCATTCGTAGCTTGTCATGGACATTTCTCAGGTGAGAAATTGTTCTCACATTTACAAACACGTCTTTGTTCCCTTCACTGAATGAGTGCATTTTACTTTTCAGAGGTACTTCTTTCAACATGAGACTCAGCACAGTGTGCCACCACCTTTGGATGTCTCAACAAGCAAACTAGTCACCAGAAATCTAACAAAAGTGATTTTGCCAACAAATAATACGCATGTGTTGTGATGCTGTGCATTAAAACATTGAGACACTTGTGTTATTCCATTTTTGTCACTGCATTTTGTTTGATTAGGATATTTGAAGGCACGGCTTTGGAATTCCAATTTTGTTGTCAGGTAGCTGTTAGCTGCCAGACTGACACGGACGGTGAAAACTGCAAGCTTTCTGTGATGGTTTGAAAAACGAGCGCGATACGTAGACAGGGACTAGCGCTGACTACTAGTAGTTGGCAGTAAGCGCTTGTGCCTGGCTACATATCGCGCTCATGTTTCAAACCACCATGAATCACCAACTCGCCCAATCAACCATTTTGACAAGGTTTTCATGTTGTTTTAGACCACAGTGATCACTATGGCGTTAAGTGGTGATCAGATCTTTGCTTGCATACTCAAGAAGGAGAGTTCATTTCATCGAAGCAATATCAGTGTTTAAGCTTGTGTGAACAGTAAACTTTAGAATAAAAGCAAATTCGAAGCAAATAGTGGTTTGGTCAAATAATTTTAAAGCAAATCAAAATAGCATATGTCCATGTGATAAAGAAAAATATGCATATTTGTTGTAATCCAGCTAGCCTGCACATTATTAGAAAAAAAAACTTAAAGAAGGCATGTGCAATTGTTATTCTCTTTGGTTCAAAGAGCAAGTGCAAGCAACTTGAAATTCAAACTGGACTTAGCTTTCAGTAGAATGCATTTGATAACCTGTAAAATGCTTTACATTTTAAAATTTACTATGCTAAGAGTATATAAATCACTATAACAAGTTTTAAACCTAGACATTAACAAATTGATATCAGGATAATATTGTTACGTTTAGTAATGTATTTATTACGCTGTGGCATACTGGTATACTTCAAGGGGTCGTGCACAGGAGGCCTATCTCGCTAGCCGAACGTCCTCGTCCTCTTTTCTAATCTGCCTGTTCCCCGCTACCCACAGGTTCATACCCAAATCACATATGCAGTAACATTTCCCTCCGCGCAGACAAAGCCCACCGGGCGAGTTAAAGAGTCTCTCTGGGAATATAGCGCTTCAAACATGCTATGTGGACTAGTTCAGTCTTTGCAGATTGTTGGCCATTTGAATGAAGACGTGCTACGCAGTAAGTTACATCGCTCAAGCGGTCTAGAACAACATAAGGTCCCACATAGTGTGCCAGCATTTTTTCACACAACCCACGTTTCTTATTTGGCGTCCACAGCAACATGTGGTCTCCGCGATTATACGTCACGTGTCGACGTTGACAGTCAAAACGTGTCTTCGAGCGATCTTGCGAAGCGAGGGTACGCAGGTAACCAAGACGTCGGGCTTTTTCTGCACGGCAGACGTTCTCGGATATACCGGAATCATGGTGGTCCATAAACGGAAAGACGGTATCTAGGGTATGACGAGGTGGCCGAGCGTACAGAAGAAAAAACGGACTGTAGCTGGTAGTCTCATGCTGTGCGGTGTTCAATGCGTAAGTGATGAAAGGTAGCACGCCATCCCAGTTCTTGTGATCTACTGCGACATACATAGAAAGCATGTTCGTGAGAGTCCTGTCAGTTCGTTCCGTCAGGCCGTTTGTTTGGGGATGATATGGCGTAGAGTGCCGAAAGCTTGAAGCGCATAGACGAAGCATCTCTTCCACGACGTCTGCAGTGAATTGTCGCCCAGGATCACTGATAACAATTTAAGGAAGTCCATGTCGTAGAATCACAAAACGCAGGATGAATAAACACACGTCAGCTGCAGTTGCCGATGGTATAGCAGCTGTCTCGCAGTACCGTGTTAAGTGATCGGTACATACGACTATCCAGCGATTGCCATTGGAAGACGTCAGAAAGGGACCTAGAAGATCAATCCCAACTTGCTCGAATGGAGTTCTAGAGGGTGGAATAGGATGTAGTCGCCCTGGAGGAGCACTGGTAGGGCGCTTGCGGCGTTGGCACTCGTTGCAACTAGAGACGTACTGTTCCGTCGTCTGGTGCATTTTCGGCCAGTAAAATCTTTCTTGAAGCCGGCAAAGAGTTTTCGCTGTGCCTAGATAGCCGGACGTTGGGTCATCATGCATAGCCTGCAAGAACGCGAAACGCGAAAACTCTTCAGAACCACGAGAAGATATCGTAAGCCGGTCGTAGCATAGTTCTTTTTGTACACAAGTTCGTCGCGCATGCAGAAGCGAGTCGCCGATGGTCTTGACTCGGTAGGAAGAAGCTCCTGTATGGTGTGGTCCCTTTGCTGCTCAATCTTAAAGGCGTTGGTATCAGGAAATGGCAGGTCCAATGGCGCGATGTAGGTGTCGAAGTTGCCCGCGTCGCAGTTGGTCAATGGAAGCGGTAGTCGCGAAAGACAATCTGCATCAGCGTGACGATGGCCGCTTTTATAGGAAACTGTAAAGTCGTATTCCTGCAGATGGAGTGCCCAGTGCGCTAGTCGACCAGATGGGTCACGCAGATTGACCAGCCAGCAGAGCGAATGATGATCTGTCATGATGTTAAAGGGGTGTCCGTACAGGTAGAACCGGAAGCGCTGCACTGCGAAGACTACGGCGAAACATTCTTGCTCTGTGACGGTATAGTTACGCTCGGACTTGCTTAGAGAGCGACTTGCATACGCAACGACATGTTCTCTGGTATCCAAGCGTTGAACTAACACGGCGCCTACACCGACACTGCTAGCGTCTGAGTAAAGTTCTGTGGGAGCCAGAGGGTCGAAGTGTCGAAGAATCGGATGGTATGTTAAAAGGAACTTCAACTCAGAAAAAGCGGACGTACATTCCGGAGTCCAGTCAAATGGCACGCTTTTCTGAAGCAGGCACGTGAGTGGGCGCGCGATATTGGCAAATCCTGGGATGAATCGACGGAAGTACGAGCAGAGGCCCAAAAAGCTGCGTAGTTCTTTCGCTGAGTGAGCTTGCTTGAACGCCTCCACTGCAGCCGTTTTCGCGGGATCCAGCCGTATGCCTTCTTTGTTCACCAAGTGTCCAAGGACGAGTGTTTGGCGCTCTCCGAAACGACATTTCTTCGAGTTGAGCACCAAGCGTGCTTGGCTTAGGCAGTTCAGCACGAGGTCGAGGTGTGTGTTGTGCTCACAGAAAGTGCGCCCAAAAATCACAACATCGTCTAGATAACACATGCATACTTCCCACTTTAAACCACGCAGAATGTTGTCCATGAAGCGCTCGAAAGTTGCAGGCGCATTGCATAGTCTGAATGGCATCACAATGAATTCAAAAAGTCCATCTGGTTTAACAAATGCCGTTCTCGTGCATTGGAATCTGCCAATACCCTGACCTCAAATCAACAGACGAAAAGTCGGAGGCTGATGAAAGACAGTCTATAGCATCGTCAATATGTGGTAGTGGGTACACGTCCTTCTTTGTGATGGCGTTGAGATGGCGGTAGTCAACGCAAAATCGCCATATTCCATCTTTCTTCTTGACCAATATCACGGGAGCGGCCCACGGACTGCATGATTCTTGAGTCACATTCTTATTTAGCATCTCGCCAACCTGTTCATTTATCACTGCGCGTTCCGAAGGCGATACCCGGTATGGCTTTTGTTGAAGAGGTCTATGGTATGCCGTATCTATGCGATGCTTTACACCAGAAGCAGGGAATGACATTGGAGCCTGTAGCTGTGTGAAATCGAAAAGACCAGCATGTTTGCGCAAAATACTCACTAGGTCATTACACTTGTCGGTGCTAAGAGACTTGTCAATCATTGCCATTATGGAGGTGGCCCTGGTGTGTAAATGATTGGAATCGGGCTTATCCGGAGAATCACTGCTCTCTGCAAGGATGGCAAGGGAGAACACCTGATGCTGACGGATCTTATCAAGTTGTAAACCCTTTGCAGTAACAAAGGTTCATTGGAGCCGTTGATCACCCACAAACCAGTATGCCCTTGCACAACCGACAACATACAATAGGGTATCAGAACATTTTTCTTTATGCAGCTGAGGTGAATGGGCTCTACGGTGGCATCAAATGTTGTCTTGGTTGTAGGGGAACTGACGACAGGAACACACTTGGCAGACAAGGGTGGTACAGTTGTGTCTATAGACACGCAAAGGGTGCTTTCCATACAGGGCGGGCTTTCCGTAAACGCTACTGGACCATTTGAATCTACTGTAATCTCTCCTCTGCCGCAATCAACAGTGGCACCACAAAGATTCAGGAAATCGAGTCCTAGAATTACATCATGTGTTGAATGAAAGAGAACAGCGAAATCGGCGATAATATTCTGGCCACCCAAATTAACAGTCACTGAGCAGACACCAACAGGTTGTAAGACATCTCCGGTCACTCCATGTAATGTATCAGCACGGTCCCAACGGAACATAACCTTTCGTCCAAGATGGCGTTTGAATGCTAGACTCATCACTGATATGGTTGCACCTGTGTCCACTAAGGCCATTGTTGAGACACCGTCAATTAGCACACGAACCTTATTTCGAAACATGCGAATTAAAAGGAGGCATTTCTTTGGAAATCGAAGACTGTCCAGCGACCTCACCTCCAACGCTCGCGCCGGCTAGTTTACCGGCGGCGGCAAAGAGTAGGGGCGCCTAGGAGGTGGCGACCGATTGGAGTGAGGGGCTGGCGGGGGTATCAGACTTCGGTCAGAGGCCGGAGAACGGTGTCGCAGCGGCCTTGGTATCTCGTGGGACACGCTTCCAGGGGACGTTGGTGTTCGTGCAAAGCCAGACAGGTGGGATCTCAGTGAGCGGTCGTACCTCGGCGGCTGCTGGTAGTTGCAGTACCTGGCAATGTGGCCTTCGACGCCACAGTTGTAGCAGACGGGCAGGGGTCGTTCGCCGAACCACTGCTGAGAGCGCTCCGCTGTGTAAGGTCGCCTACCCGAACGGAGTGGAGCAGCTTGCTGAACGGGAACTGCCCGCCTGTGTGGAGCGGGGCCGGTACGAAGGCGTCGGTCATACTGCTGGTCAGGCTCGAATGAGTCTCGGCGTGGTCAGGAATTTCCAGCTTCGCTAAAGTCCGTCGCACATACCGATGGTGGCAGATGGGCGAACAGCGCCGGGTAGTAGGATGAGCAGGTAGG